GTTCCCTGCAAAGAATAGTTTTTTTTTAAGAATATGTTGTAATGAGTAAAAATTTTATCTTTATTTTAATTTTAAAGAGAATAATGAAAAAAAAATTTCATTATACATACTCTAATGTTGTGAATGCAATACAAATACTTGGTGGAAATTAGTATTATGAGAACATGTATAATGAGCAACAATTAAAACATTCATTTTAATATCATACCATTACAATTAACATTATTTTATATAAACTTATATTTTGATATATTAAAACTTTTAAATAGAATTCTTAATAGAATATCTCATCTTTAATGCATATTCTTAAATAAAGGTTTTTTAAGAATACATAATTATTATTTTATTTTATTTATATTTTATATATTTAAATAAAAAATTGAATTAATTTTTTTTTTTAAAAAGAACTCAGCTGTTGGATTCGAAATCCAATGGCTGAATGACATACGTTGACGAAGTTGCAGTGATGCCTGCCACAGGTGGCCGAACTTTTCGGCAAAAAAAGGGACCAACATGATGTCGTTTTGGTCCCTTCAAAGCCCAAACATATTTGACGGGTTATTGTAGGGAAGAAAGCGCGATTTTGGGAAATGTTCCTATAAAGGCAAAGCTCCGTCTTTGTTTTCTTCTAGAAAAGAGTAATGGAAGATAATTGGCAAAAGTCCTCCGGTTGCATTTCAACTTTTTGAGTTTGAGGTATTTTACATTTTATATTACAATATATGAATTTTTATTTTTATATTTCTAAGTTTAGAGAAATAAAGTAAATTTAACGTTAAAGAATTACATGCATCATTAACTTCCATTATATATTCACAAGTCAATGCCAACTTAGATTTTTTTAACACGTTGATAAATCCAGCTTGAACCCTTTGAGTTGGAATTCGAGTTGGAATTCTACTACTGCCAACAATTTATTTATTTTTTTCATTCCTCCCTTTCCTTTTTCCTTTCTTCAATTTCTACAAACCTTAACATCTCAACCAATTTCTAACATATCAATCAATTTACTCACCTCAACCAATCTCTACCCTTACTGAGTTCTTAATCATCATTGAACAACAAAATCCAAAAGAAAAAAAAAAGATTTTTTTTTTAAAATTTTTTACCATTGGGTTCTATGGAACCCACATTTGGGTTCCAACAAACCCAGGCATGTTGGGTTCGAAGGAACCCAGTGCCTGGGTTCCAAAGAACACTGGGTTCCTTCGAACCCAAACATGGGTTTGATGGAACCCAGCACTTGGGTTTCTTGGAACCTCAACACCTAGGTT